CTCTTTGTGGAGTCTTGGTTTCCTATATATAAGATCATGTTATCTGCAAATAGGGGTAATTTTAGTTTCTCCTTTCTAATTTGTATTTCTTTTATTTCCTTTTCTTTTATTATTGCTCTGGTTAAAACTTTCAGAACTATATTGAATGTCTGGTGAGAGTGAGCAACTTTATCTTGTTCCAGTTCCAACTTTTCTTATTTAATAGGATGCTGTTGAAGATTTGCCATATATTGCCTTGATTTTGTTAAGGAATGTTCTTTCTACACCAATATGTTTACATCTTTATAATGAAAACATTTTGTGCTTTATCAAATGCTTTTTATGCATCTATTGAAATTATATGGTTTTCATTCAGTTTGTTAATAAGACATATCATATTTATTGTTTTGCATTTTTTGAACCATTCCCTCATACCAGTGATAAATCCTTCATTGTCTGTGTGAATGATCTTTCTGATGTGTTGTTGGATTCAATTAGCAAGTACTTTGAAGAGGATTTTTGCATCTATTTTCATCAGTGGTATTGTTCTGTATTTCTCTTTCTGTGTTGTGTATTTTTTTTCTGGTTTTGGAATGGAGGTAATGCTGTTCTTATTGAGGAGTTTGAGAGAATTCCCTAATGTCAGGAGACTTCTTACAGGTCTCTCACATGGGTTCAGTGACCCAAGCATTTGGGCCATCGTATGCTGCCTTTCTAAACACATTAGCAGGGAACTGAATCAGTTTGGAGCATAAATGCTATGATAGTATCCTTGTAGTTCAAGGATGTAGAACCCATGTGGAACAAAGTCCCTTTTATGGGTGGCCCTTGAGAACTAATAGACTTGACTTTACATATGTCCCAGGTAATTTATAAGGCATGTGAGCCCCTAGAATGAAGAAGACACAGAGAGCACTAAGGATAGCACCTATAGAATTTATTTAGACTGATTTTAGTATACCTTTCATTGGAGAGGGTCCCATAAAAGATGGGCTGATTTGTAGTATTAGTGACAATTAATTTTTGAAATGAGGCATTGCACCAGAACCCAAGAAGCACTATAAGGTATTATCTTTGTATGTTCTTCACAAGTGTGTTAAATAGTCTCCTTCAGTAAGGATGTATGCTTATTCTAAAAAATGTTGGGTATGGTTAAATTCTTTGCAAAAATTGTGTCTGATGCCAAACTCAATGAGGTGCCCATGTACACCTTAGAAGAAATGTCTTTTCAAGGTGAAAGCAAACTGAGAGTGAGGGGCTTTTGGGAAAGCTTTGTCAAAACTCATTTGCCAAGCTTGCAATACTCAAGAAATGTCATTTATCTGTTGAGAGGCATCGGATATGTTAATATTATATATAAGGTATTGTAGACATAATGGATGCCATATAACATTAAGATTTTAGTAATCTACCATGAGGTTTCATTTATTTTTTTCCAGATTTAACAGGTAAATTAGTTTGCCAAATGGTGAAAGTTGGAATAAAAACCTTTTTATTAATTAAGTCTAATGTGATAATTTTTCCCCAGAAAACTTTTATTTTAAGGAATACAAATTTGATATATTTCATAAATACAACTTTAGGAACATGTTGATTCTTCCCACTGTACCCACCATCCCACCCACTCTCCCTCTCCTCTTACCAGTCTGATTTTTTTCCTAACATCTATTTTTTAATTAACTTTATACACATAAATATAAGAGCTCAATAAGAATATGGAAAAAATGAACTGTTCCTCAGCAGTCGAGAAAAGGGCTGTTTAAAGTCATTACTTCTCAAAGTGTCAATTTCTCTCCTATAGATTACAATTTAGGTGCTTTATTTGTTATCACAGGTCAGGGAGAACATACTGTATTTGTCCTTTTGCGACTGGCTTCTTTCATCCAGTATGTTTTTGAGCTTCATCCATTTTGCTGCAAACGACTCAATTTTTTTTAACACTGCATAGTACTCCATGGTGTCAATATCCCATAACTTCTTTATCCAGTCTTCAGTTGAAAGGCATTTGTGTTGATTCCATATCTGAAGTTATTGTTAATTCAGCTGCAATAAACATGGGAGTACAGGTAACTCTTTTATATGCTGACTTCATTTCCTTTGGGTAAATTCCCAGAAGTAGAATGCCTGTGTCATATGATTGGTCTATATTCAGATTTCTGAGGTATCTCCATACTGTCTTCCATAGTGGCTTTACCAGTTTATATTCCCTCCCACAGTGAATTAGGGTACCTTTTTCCCCACATCCTTGTTAGCATTTGTTTGTTGATTTCTGTATGATAGCCATTGTAATGGGGATGAGATGAGACCTCCTTGTGGTTTTTATTTGTGTTTCCCTGACAGCTCATGATCCTGAGCATTTTTTCATGTGTCTGTTGGCCATTTGGATTTCCAATTTTGAAAAATGCCAGTTTGGGTGCTGGCACTGTGACATAGTGGGTAAGGCTGCTGCCTGCAGTGCTGGCATCCCATATGGGCACCAATTTGTGTCCTGATTGCTACATTTCCAATCCAGTTCTCTCTTATGGCCTGGAAAAATAGTAAAAGATGGCCCAAGTCTGTGGGTCCCTGCACCCATGTGGGAGACCTGGAAGAATCTCCTGGCTTCTGGATTCGGATCTATGAAGCTCTGGCTGTTTTGGCCATCTGGGGAATGAACCAGTGGATGGAAATAGTCTTTCTCTCTCTTCCTCTGCCTCTCTTTAACTCTTTCAAATAAAATTATATAATAAAAAATATTTTTTTAAAAAGAGAAAGGTGCCTGTTTAAGTCCTTTCCCCATTTCTTAACTGGGTTGTTTGTTTTGTTGTTGTTGAGTTTCTTGATCTTTTATATATTCTGCTAATTAATCCTTTATCAGTTTCATAGTTTGCAAATAATTTCTCTCATTCTGTTGGTTGCCTCTTCACCTTGCTGAGTGTTTCTTTTGCAGTACAGAAGCTTCTCAATTTGATGTAATCTCATTTATCAATTTTGGCTTTGAATGCCTGTGCCTCTGGGGTCTTTACCAAGAAGTGTTTTCCATGCCAATGTTTTGCAGGATTTTCTCAATGTTATCTATCTTATTTATTTATTTATTTTTTGACAGGTAGAATTGCAGAGAGAGGAAAACAGAGAGAAAGGCCTTCCTTCCTTCCTTTGGTTCACCCCCCAAATGGCAGTTACAGTTGGCGCTGTGCCAATTCGAAGCTAGGAGCCAGATGCTTCTTCCTGGTCTTCCATGTGGGTGCAGGAGCCCAAACACTTGGGCCATCCTCCACTGCCCTCACTGGCCACAGCAGGGAGCTGGACTGGAAGAGGAGCACCCAGGACTAGAACCTGGTGCCCATATGGGATGCCGGCGCCACAGGTGGAGGATTAGCCAAGTGAGCCATGGCAACAGCCCCTCCTCAATGTTATCTAATTATTTGATGTTATACAGTCATAGATTTACATCAATTTTGGGTAGATTTTTAAGATAATAAAATTTAATACATGAAGACATGGAGTTTCCATTTATCAGGCCATATTAGTTAGTTTATTTTGGGAATCTATGAATTCCTATTTTCCCTAGCCAAGTTCTGACTTATGAATTATATTTTATTACCCATTCTTTTAGACTATCTCTTCAAACTGTCAGATTTTTGGACTGCATTTGACTGTTGAAAATTAGGCAGTACTATGTAAGCTATTTTTCTTCTGATATATATTTTGGAACTGATCAAAAATTTGTATTGAGTACCCCGTTTAAATTCGGTAGGAATCCAGGGTAGACTATTGTTTACACTACTGTTTATACCAGGAAACTTTGTGAATAAGTGCATAGAGAACCTGGGAAAGTTGATGTATATCTCATGCAGTGGTTCATGTCCCAGCTGTATCATTTCCAATCCAGCTCCATGGTAATGTGTCTGGGAAAACAGTGAAATGTGTCCCACATCCTTTAGCTTATGCATCCATGTAAAAGATCCAGAAGAAACCCCTGGCTGCTGGCTTCAGATTGGCCCAGCTCCACATGGCAGCTATTTGGGGGTGAACAAGCAGATGGATGATCTCTATTTCTCTCTCTCTCTGGAACTCTACCTTTCAAATAAGTAACTTTTAAAGATTTATTTGTGTATTTGAAATAAATAGTTAAGAGATCTTCTATCCATAGATTCACTCCTCAAAATGGCTACTATGGCCAGGGGTGGGCCAGACTGAATCTAAGAGCTGCATCTGGGTCTGCCATGTGGGTGGCAGAGGTGCACACACTTGTGCCATCTTTTGCTGCTTTTCCAGGAATAATAGCAGGGAACTGGCTCAGAAGTGGAGCAACTAATACACAAACTGGCACACATGGGTTGCAACCACTATTCATTCCCCTCATAGCTTCGTCTTTTCTCCTGAATACTTCTATATTCTTCTCCTTAACATTGCTCATTTAAGAGTCAATATTGTCCCTCTTTCAGCCTGCTGTGCAATCCTCCATGACAGATTTCAGGCCGTTTGGCCTGAAACTCCTGTGTCCTCCATTTAGGCATTTTTTACAGTCTTAGAACATAGATTTGACTCCCTGTTGAATGCTTCTGTGTGGCTTCCCAATGCTCAACAAGTCTAAGATGAAACTAGATCCTTGGGGCTGGTGCCGTGGCATAGCAGGTAAAGCTGCCACCTGCAGTGCTGGCATCCCATATGGGCACCAGTTCGAGACCCAGCAGCTCCACTATGATCCATCTCTCTGCTATGGCCTGGGAAATCAGTAGAAGAGGGCCCAAGTGCTTGAGCCTCTACACACTTGTGGGAGACCTGGAAGAAGCTCCTGACTCCTGGCTTTGGATTGGTGCAGCTCCAGCCATAGTGGTCATCTGGGGAGTGAACCAGCAGATAGAAGACCTCTCTCTCTCTCTCTCTCTGCCTTTCCTTCTCTCTCTGTATAATTCTGACTTTCAAAAAAAAAAAGAACTATATCCTTCCTTCCGCCTTCATTACCATATGGAAAATACACACTGTCAGTGTTGTTATGTGACAGAATTAATATGTTGACCAAAAGTGTTCTATCACAGGTGATGACAACATTTGAATACCTCGCTGTGTACTTCACCTGGGAAGAATGGCAGAATATGAACAAAGCTCAGAAAATCCTGTACAAGGATGTGATGCTAGAGACTTACAGCAGCCTGTTCTCCTTGGGAGAGTGACATCCATCACAAGCCGAATGGTAATATTTTCTTGCTATTTGACAAATAAGTGAACACTTCATAAAATTTAATAATGGGCAGGTATAGAATTTAAGTCCATGAATAATCTGAGTACCTGCCATTGAGGAAAGGATTCATATTCAAACATCTGTTGCATAGCTCCTAGACCAAGCTGTACTCCTTTAATTAACCCAAGATAGATTTCACAAAATCTTATATTGTTTCCATTAATAGGACAATGCATTAGCAAACCTGACTTGATCGTCAAGTTGGAGCAAGGTGCAGAGCCATGGATGATGGAAGAATGTCTAAATCAGAGCCCTCCAGGTCAGTTTGCACATAATGGGCAGGGGGGCCAAGGCAGAAAGAGTGCAACAGGTCTTGACTGGTGTTCTTTCCATGAATTATTACCAAGTCTTACTCCTGATGACAGCTGGTTTTGTGCACCAGACACTCAGACACAGATTATCTAGGGCTACCAGTATCTCTACAACTCTTGTTCTTGGGTGAAGATGTTCTTTGATTTAAAAACAAAACAAAAATTCTTCCAATCCTCTTCTGATGTTACTAAAGCATTTTTCTAGTTTAGATACATTCCTCAAATGTTAATTTATCCTTCCATACACTTTCATACCTTTTTCTTCATCAAGTTATTAATTCCTTTGGTGCTCATTAACTGGGTAACTTACAGAAATTTGTTACTTACTCATCACTCAGATTGAGTTTCCAATCATGGTTATGCCCAGGAAGGAAATTTGCTATATTAGCACATCAGGACTGAACCAATAAATGCTTTCTCTTTCTTTGTTCCATCTTTTATTTTTTTTTCTCTATGACTCTCAGATAAAGCAGAAAATGATAGGTTGTTGGAAACATTTGAGAAGTGAGCCTGTGGCTGACAACAACCTGTTTCATTCTCTCTTTGTGTCTCGTTCTCTTGTCTCTCTGATTCTCAAGTAAGTAAATAAGTAAATGCTACAATATGGTCAAGGGTAAGCCTCCATGTTGTGATGTCAGAGATCATGAATCTAAGCATGAAAATCATGGAGCTAAGCATGAAAACAAGGGATTCTAGACTTATTAAGAAAGTCATGGGGAGGCCAGCACCATGGCACACTAGCTTAATCCTCTGCCTGCAGCACCGGCATCCCATATGGGTGCCGGTTCTAGTCCCAGTTGGTTCTCTTTACATCCAGCTCTCTGCTGTGGTCTGGGAAAGCAGTGGAAGATGGCCCAAGTGCTTGGGCCCCTGCACCCACATGGGAGACCAGGAACAAGCACCTATCTCCTGGCTTTAGATTGGGGCAGCTCAGATCTTTGCAGCCATTTGGGGAGTAAATCAAAGAAGGAGGACCTTTCTGTCTCTTTCTCTCTCACTGTCTGTAACTCTACCTGTCAAATAAATAAATAAAATCTTTTAAAAAAAGAAAGTCATGGGATTGAGTCCCAAGGTCAAGTAACCTCATGGTTTCATATTTGTTAAAGAGTAGAGCTTAATGTATGAATTTTCTAATTTTTCAGTATCATTGAAAAACAAACAAAAATGATGTGAAGGCATAGGAAATGAAGCTTTCCATGAAAATAGTAGAAAAGTGATCAAGAGCCTTAGAAACACAAATTACCACAGAGGAGTGTTTATAGAAAGAATTGAGCGGAGATAACTAGGGATGGTAATTTCAGAATGAACTAGAAAACACTTTTTTAAAAAAGTAAACACACCTGGGTTGCAGAGACAATTCCATAAACTGCTAAGAAGTATATACCCAAGATGGTACATTGGGACTTTTCTGCACCTGTTGTAGTTCTGAGAAGCTGAAGATGTCGGGTTTCCTTAGGAATAGGAGGCTGCTGTTACAGAGTGCAGATGAAAGTTTTTCATTTGAAAAATCCCACAAAAACCATTTTCCTGTAAAGAATGAACATGAGATGGCCATAGATTCAAATCTTGTCCCTTAAATGTGCTCCTGCTTAGAGTACAGATGTATTTCACTCTTTTCCACCTTCAAGTAAATGATCTAGTAAAAATTTCCCATATTTATACTTGCAAATCAGAGAAACACAAAACACAGTTTTTATAAAAATAATCTGGAAAAAAAAGGACAGGGAAAACTTGGTTGCTAGACAGTGGATAAATATTTTTACTAAATATTTGTCCACTCTTTAAAATCACATATACTTGTATCATCTTTGTGTTCACCAAAAAGTCAGTGAGAGGAGAGATTTTCTACTAGCTCAATCCTCAGATGCCTATAACAATTAAGTGTGACAAGTCTGAAGCCAAAAGCCTGGCATTCCTCTAGTTCTCTCTGATGTATTACAGGGGATCAAGTACATGAACCATCATTTGCTGCCTTCCAGTTCACATAAGCAGATGTATTGGAAGCAGAGTAGCCGGGGCTGAAACTTGCACTGGTTTTGGATGCAGGCATCCCAAGCAGTGACTTAACACATGTTGCCACAAAACCCATTCTGCCATACTTGAAAAAAAAATCAGTAAACAAGGTTATGATGAACTTTGGGATGTGTATTGGTACAAATTAATATATCCATGTATTAGGGAGAAAAAACAATATAATGGTCATAAATTAGTATATTGTACTGATTTTGTTAAAATCTTATTCCACTTGGATAACAAGTAACTTCATTCCCTTTACATGAATATGCTAGAAGAAAGTTATATGTGATTCAGTGACATGGTTATTTTTTTCTTTTCAGTTTCCATAAAAGGGGATGACCTGACTAGGATCAACCAGGAAAGTCAGGACAAAAATCTGAATCAGAATGTAATGAAAAATAAGAAGATATCAATTCCTAAGAGAGTTGAATTAAGAAAAACACTTAATTTAATTTCAATCGAAATTCCAAAACTGGTTATTAAAAAGAGAAATAGTGAGCATGGAAAAGCTACTTTCCAGAAATCATACCTCATCATACATCAGAAAATTCAGACAGAGGTGAAACTTCGTAAATGTAATGACTGTGAAAAAGCCTATGACCAGAAGTCAAACCTCATAACACAACAGAGAATTAACACAGGGGAGAAATCTCATGAATGTAGTGATTGTGGAAAATCCTTTGCCAGTAAGTCACAAGTCATCAGACATCAGAGAATTCACACAGGGGAGAAACCTTATGAATGTAATGACTGTGGAAAAGCCTTTGGCCAGAAATCAGACCTCATCAAACATCAGAGAATTCACACAGGGGAGAAACCTTATGAATGTAATCACTGTAGAAAAGCCTTTGCTACTAAGACACAACTCTTCATACATCAGAAAATTCACACAGGGGAGAAACCTTATGAATGTAATCACTGTGGAAAAGCCTTTGGCCAGAAGTCAGACCTCATTAAACATCAGAGAATTCACACAGGTGAGAAACCTTATGAATGTAATGACTGTGGAAAAGCCTTTGGCTATAAGTCAAGCCTGATAATGCATCAGAGAGTTCACACAGGGGAGAAACCTTATGAATGTAATCACTGTGGAAAAGCCTTTGGCCAGAAAGCAAGACTCACTACTCATCAGAGAATTCACACAGGGGAGAAACCTTATGAATGTAATGACTGTGGAAAAGCCTTTGGCCAGAAGTCAGACCTCATTAAACATCAGAGAATTCACACAGGAGAGAAACCTTTTGAATGTAATGACTGTGGAAAAGCCTTTGGCTATAAGTCAAGCCTGATAATGCATCAGAGAGTTCACACAGGTGAGAAACCTTATGAATGTAATCACTGTGGAAAAGCCTTTGGCCAGAAGTCAGACCTCATCAAACATCAGAGAATTCACACAGGTGAGAAACCTTATGAATGCAATGATTGTGAAAACCCTTTTGCCAGAAATCAGATCTCATAATGCATCTGAGAATTCAGATAGGGTAGTATTCTTCTGTCTGTAATGACTGCAAAATCCCTTGGCTGTAAGTCAGAACTCTTCATCAGATAATCCGCACAAGAGAGAAACCTCATGAATGTAATGATTGTGGGAAAGTATTCTGCTATCAATTTTAACTACTAAGACGTCGGAGAATTCACACAGGATTTTCCTCACAGTCACAAAAGAGAGAACCTTACGAATGTAACAAGTATAGAAAACCCTTTTGAGGTAAATCACACCTCTTCAAACATAAGAGATGTCACATGAGGTGAAATTTATGGATGTAATTACTCAGAAAGCCATAATTCAACCCTCATTGCACATCATGAAATTCATGTAGATTGTAGGTTGCCTGACGGTAATGGCTTTGGAAAGCTGTGGCTGCTGGTAGCAGGGTATCTGTTATTGGTACTATACCCAGGGATGCTGCCATTCTTGCTTTTGCTGCTGCCCCTGAGGTGTTGAGTAGGGAGGGCTGTGCCTGGGTGGTAGCTGCAACTGCCATGATATTGACAGTTTCTAGGGATCCAAGTTGTAACAGCCTCAATTTTTGGGGTTCTTGTTACACTGGCTGTTGTTAACCCTGCATGTCTTGTTGTATTCATTACCTGCACTGAGGTGGAGAACTCCTTGGTAGTCATCTCCTGCACCACTGTCTCCACCTTGGTTCTGAAAGCCTCCTTGGTTACCTCTAGCAAGACCTCCATCATGATAGTGCTGGAAGCCATCACCACCTAGAAACTGCCATCACCTCAGTAAACAAAGCAGTTTTCAGGGTTGGCCCAGCCTTGTGGCTGCTTCATTGTATTTCCTCACCAGCTTGTAGGCTTCTCCTTCTGTAGTCCAATGGACAGAATCTCATCCAGGAAGTCCCTGATGTCTGGCAATGTAAATGCAGCTTTCATTTCTAAGACCACATGATATAGATCATCCTTCCCATCCTTGTCAATTTGGTTTTTTTATTTTGTCTTTTAGGTCCTTCACAGTGGTTCAATGTCATAAGTAATCTTGTTTTATTTATGAGTTTCCTTTGTGTTCAGTTGAATGTTAGTTGATTTTTTTCAAGTTAGGAGAAATTGTTAGATCTTTAGGACAAACATTATACAAATAACTTATAGCTTCTAATGTGTTACAAACAACAGTTCACAAGCAGATGTTAAATCTATGTTTTCACTGAACTAGTTTTTTGGTTCAGATTTTAGGTGCCGGGGTTAGTTCTAAAATGGTATTTGAACAAAGATGTGCTGTTTTATCAATCTTTCAACTAGATTTTTATTCCTTTAAATCAACCCCACATTCATTCATTGTTCCTTTTCTCTGTTTTCTATTATATATCTATGAGGGTGAAAATCTTTGGAGAGAATTTCTGTTTTAACATTATTCTTTTAGGGCTGGGATGTAGCAGTGAAGCCACTGCATGAAGTGCCAGCGTCACAAATGGGCACCGGTTCAAATCCTGGCTGTTGCACTTCCAATCCAGTTCTCTGCTATGGCTTCGGAAAGCAGAAGTTGGCCCAAATATTTGGGACCCTGCAGCTGTGGAAAGTCATATTGTCAGCAAATAGGGATAGTTTGACTTCTTCCTTCCCAATTTGTATCCCTTTGATTTATTTTAGTTGCCCAATGGCTCTGGCTAACACTTCCACTACTATATAGAATAGCAATTGTGAGAATGGGTATCCCTGTCTGCTACCGGGTCTCAGTGGGAATGCATCCAACTTTTCCCCATTCAATAGGATGCTGGCCGTGGGTTTGTCATAACTTACCTTGATTGTGTTGAGGAATGTTCCTTCTATACCCAGTCTGCTTAGCATTTTCATCATGAAAAGGTGTTGTATTCTATCAAATACTTTCTATGCATCTATTTAGATAATCATGATCTTTCTTCTGCAGTTTTTTGATGTGGTGTATCACATTGATTGATTTGTGAATAGTGAACCATCCCTGCATACCAGGGATAAATTGCACTTTGGGTGGATGACCTTTCTAATGTATTGTTGGATTCTGTTGGCTAGAATTTTATTGAGGATTTTTGCATCTGTTCATCAGGGAAATTTGTGATTCTCTTTCTCTGCTGCATCTTTTTCAGATTTAGGAATTAAGGTGATGCTGGCTTCATAGAAAGAATTTGGAAGGATTCCCTCTTTTTGGATTGTTCTGAATAATTTGAGAAGAATTGGAGTTAGTTCTTTAAATGTCTGGTAGAATTCAGCCATGAATCCATCCAGTCCTAGGCTTTTCTTTGTATGGAGGGCCTTTATTACTGATGCAATTTCTGTCTTGTTATGGGTCTATTTATGTTTTCTATGTCTTCATGGTTCAATTTAGGTAGGTTGTATGTGTGTTTGGGAATCTATTGCATTTCTGCTAGATTTCCCTGTTTGCTGGCGTACAACTCTTTGAAGTAGTTTCCAATGACTTTTTTATTTCTGTGGTGTCTGTTGTTACATTCCCTTTTTCATCTCTAATTATATTTTATTGGGTCTTCTTTTTTTGGTTGATTGGTGTGTCAATTTTGTTTATTTTTTCAAAAAAACAGCTCTTCATTTTGCTGATCTTTTGTAATTTTTTTTTATTCAGTCCTGTTGATTTCTTCTCTAATTTTAATTATTTCTCTTCTCCTACTAGCTTTGGGTTTGGTTTGCTGTAATCTTTCTAGATCCTTGAGATGCATTGATAGCTCATTTATTTGGTGCCTTTCCAATATCTTGATGTAGGCACCTTTTGCTATAAACTTTCCTCTTAACACTGCTTTTGCCGTATCCCATAAGTTTTGATATATTGTGTTGTTATCTTCATTTGCTTCCAGAAAGTTTTTGATTTCTTCTGTGACCCACTGTTGATTCAGGAGCATGTTGTTCAGTCTCCATGTGTTTGCATATGTTATAGAGATTCCTGAGTTACTGATTTCCAGCTTCACTCCTTTGTGGTCTGAGAAGTTTCATGGTATGATTTTGATTGTTTTGAATTTGCTGAGACTTGCTTTATGGCCTAGTATGTGGTCAGTCCTAGAGAAGGTTCCATGCACTGCTGAGAAGAATGTGTATTCTGCAACTGTAGGATGAAATGCTCTGTAGATATCTGTTCGGTCCATTTGGTCCCTAGTGTTGCTTAAATATGCTGTTTCTTTTTTGATTTTTCTGTCTGATTGATCCGCCTATTGCTGAAAGTGGAGTATTGAAGTCCCCTAATACCATTGCATTGGAGTCTAAGTCTCCTTTTAAATCCCTTAACATATCTTTTAAATAGCCCAGTGCCCTCTAATTAGGTGCAAATACACTGATAGTAGTTACATCTTTCTGTTGACTTGATCCCTTAATATATAGCACCCTTCTTTGTCTCTATAACAGTTTTTGTGTTAAAGTCTATTTTTTCTGATACTAACATGGCTACATCAGCTCTTTTTTGGTTTCTGTTGGCATGAAATATCTTTTTTTTAATATTTATTTATTTATTTGAAAGTCAGTTACACAGAGAGAGGAGATGCAGAGAGGGAGAGAGATATCTTCCCTCCAATGGTTCACTCCCTAATTGGTCTCAACAGCCAGAGGCACGCTGTTTTAAAGCCAGGAACCTGGAGCCTCTCTGGGTCTCCCACACAGGTGCAGTGGCCCAAAGAGTTTGGCCATCCTCCACTGTTTTCCCAGGCCATTGCTGAGAGCTTGATTGGAATTGGAGCAGCCAAGTCTCAAACTAGTGCCAATATGTGATGACAGCGCTGCAGGCCATGGTGTTAACCCACTGTGCCACAGCACCAGCCCCATGCATGGAATATCATTTTCCAACTTTACTCTTTCAATCTGCATGCACCATTGTTGGAAAGACATGTTTCTTTTAATTAGCAAATAGATTTTTTTTAAAACCATTTAGCCAGTCTTTGCCTTTTAACTGGGGATTTGTGGCCACTTGCATTCAATGTGACTCTTCATAAGTAATGACTTTGTCCTGCCATTTTTTCTGAAGACATTCATAATTTATACTTCGAACTTTTGATCTTTTATTGAGAGACTTGCTTCCTTTACCTTTTTTTTTAAGATTTTTGTTTATTTATTTGAGAGAGCTGCAGACAGTGAGAGGGAGAGACTGAGAGAAAGATCTTCTGCCCACTCTTTCACTCTCCAAAAAGCCGCAATGGCCTGAGCTGCACCGATCCTAAGCCAGGAGCCAGGAGCTTCTTCTGGGTCTCCCATGTGGGAGTAAACCCAAGGACTTGGGCCGTCTTCTACTGCTTTCCCAGGCTATAGCAGAGAGCTGGATGTGAAGAAGAGCAGCCAGGACTAGAACTGGTGCACATATGGGATGCTGGCACCGCAGGCAGAAGATTAACTTACTGTGCCACATCTCTGGCCCCCTTTACCATCTTCATATTGATGACCATGTTTCTGTGTTTCTGTGTGTAACACATCTTTAAGCATCTTTTGCACGGCTGATTGAGTGGTGACAAATTCTTTCCATTTCTCTTCCTTACGAAAGGTCTTTATTTCACCTTCATTCACAAATGAGAGTTTTGCAGGGTATAATATTTTGGAATACAGTTTTTTTCTCTTAGGACTTGGGCTATATCTCACCGCTCTCTCCTAGCCTGCAGGGTTTCTGATGAGAAGTCTGCTTGAGTCTAATTGGAGATCCTCTGAAAGTAACCTGGCATTTCTCTTTTGCACATTTTAGAATTTTCTTTTTATGTTTCACTGTGGTGAATTTGATTACAATGTGTCATGGCAGGGATCTTTCTGGTATGTCTATTGGGAGTTCTGTGTGCTTCCTGTACTTGGACGTCTCTTTTCTACTTTACTAGTTTACTAATTTTCTGCTAGTATTTCACTAAAAAGGCCTTCTAATCCTTTCTCTCGTTCCATGCCTTCAGGAACTCCTAGATCCTGATTTGGTTTTGTTTGTTTGTTTGTTTAGTATCCTGTA